TTCTTCTTCTTCTTCTTCTTCTTCTTCTTCTTTTCTTCTTCTTCTTCTTCTTCTTCTTCTTCTTCTTCTTCTTCTTCTTCTTCTTCTTCTTCTTCTTCTTCTTCTTCTTCTCCTCCTCCTCCTCCTCCCTTTTTATCCTCCCTTCTTATCCTCTCCTTGGCCTTCGTCATCGTCCTTCTCCTCATTCATCTTGTTCTTTTCTATCATATTCGTTTTTTTCTTCTTATAACCCTGCTACCTCTTCGTCTCTGCGTTTTCGTTCTTTCTATTCTTTGAATGCCTGGCGAGGATTAGAAATTAGAAATCGTTAATGTCTGTCGCCCAGTGTTTTGAAGAAATTTGCGATGCTTGTATTTATTGCTGAACTATTAAAACTTTCTTCAGCTTTTTCTTATTTCGTTCGCCTGAAATAAGTTGTCTGTATCAGCAATTTTGTCTTTTGAATAAATTTCACTATCGTTGTTAGTTTTTCAGTTGTCCATAGAGTTTACGTTCCGCTGTTGTTCTTTCCAGTAAAATGTTTTGCCTTAATGTGTCAAATTTAGTGCAGTCCTGGAGTACATGCTCTGCTGTCTGGGGCACCTTTCCACAGGCGCAAATGGCTGATACGCCTATCTTGAATTTTTTGTACATGTGGTTACGTAATCGGTTGTGCCCTATTCTGACGCGGCGGATTATGACTTGTTCTTATCTGTCCATAATAAAATAGTCGTCTTGTACTGGGGCTGGCGCTTTCCTGATTGATTTAATGATTCTTTTATTTTGGTGGTATGTGACATAGTACATCCGGCTGAACTTTTGTCGCACCTTCCCCTTCCAGTTGATTAGCTTTCTCATTACCAGGCACTCCACAATGGGACGGTATCCATTGCATTACGACTCCTAACTTTGTATCCATGTACATCTGTCCTTGTTTTTCTTACACTATCATTAGTTTAATTGCCCTTTCAACCACTGGAATACAATTTTCTCCACGTTGTGAATTTAAATAATTGGACGCACAGCATTTTGCACAAAGTGCTGTCTGGTATAATTCGAGGTATCTTGTCTGATAAATACAGTATAAATGACATCAACATATACAAAGCATAACAGTCATTTCTTTCAACTGAAAATCACTAATGACTGATTTCAGTTAAAAGTGTTAATCTTTATGGTTCGTTTGTGTTGATAAAGGTAAATGTTTTTGAATAATATACTTGAACATAAAATGTGACGAATTCACAATATTACAAATAGTGTCAAAAGTTATAAGTGAGTTACTGAGTCAGTGAGAGAGAGAAAGAGAAAGCGAGATAGAGGAAGAGAAGATGACGTTAAGCTGGACACATTCTGAGAAAAAACGATCAAAGAATCACTTAACAGGCACGGAAATTGGATATAAAGTGAGGAAGGAAAAGAGAAGGTCCAAGAGAAACCATAAGGTGAACGTTGATGAGAGAGGCCAAAGCTACCGGACTGGATTCCATCCATGATGTCGAAGTGATTGCACAGGGTAGAACGAAATTGAGATATAGACATCGAGCCCTATATGATACATAATCAGATTAAGGTAAAAGGCAAACAAGCCACATCTTAGAGCCTCACTGCAGTGGCCCCAGACTATTCCCATTTGGTATGCAACATATCTGTTGATGACATAATCAATTAAATTGCTTTTGAGAAATCAAGAAAAAATATCATCAGTTGTAATGAAGAGTCTGTTGGACGATTAATTAAAATTGTTTTTATTTTGAATTTGGAAACAGGTTCTTTATTATTTCTTTGAGAAAAAGTGAACGAAACTATTTAAAAGGTGTAAGCATTTTAACTACTGCATGTAAAATATGCCTACAAAAGCCACAAAACAACAACAACAACAACAACAACAATGCTGGTGCTGGTTCTGCAACGTCCTGTAAAGGATACGAAAGTGACATATACATTTTAAAGTTTTCGGAGATTATCTGAAGTAATATAAAACGGCAGGGGCCTCACAGCTTCGTATAGTTTTGTGTGCTAAACCTACTTAGCTGTTCAGTTGTGCCAGGTGTCAGAGGTGTGATCGGCGTAAAGGCGCAGGATGATGATGACGATGGCAGAGGCGAGTGCAAAAGGTCCACACGGGTAAACTGAGAGACGAGTGTTTCTCGAGTTAGGCGAGTGACAGCTGTTTGCACGCATTTTGCAAGACCCATTTGTGATTAGCTGCGGAGCTGAAAGTTAGCCCGTGACCAGTTAGTGCCTCTCAGACTGTGACAGAGTTCGGACGTGTGTGATTTTTAGTCGTAATTATGTGTATTTTTTTTTATTCTGGTGAAAGCTTAGATTGTTCGTTAGAATTTGGTGTATATTTCAAGTTGAGTGTTATAATGGAGACAACGCGTTGAGGGCCCAACATCTCTTTATGATCCAACTGCCAGGATGTGTTCCGGATCGCATTAGAGGCTGACTCGCGACTGCGTGTCGTGCAGGCCTATCGCTGTGCGCAACGTCTCTAGTCAGTTATGTCCAGTTATAGATGACCCAAAGAGTGGGTACATAACCGTGGTGTTTATGAAAGACCACAGGAGCGGTCCCGTAGGCCGAAGGCGTTTTATTGTGTAGACTCACGTAAAGTCAGGGTTAGGTGTTTCCCTTTGAGGCGACTCCGCCTTGGAGGCAGATCAATGAGCATCTGTGGGTATTAGACGGACAGTAGTTCTGTAATCACCAGTTCATCTTCATCATCATACTGTGTTTCGTCCCAATAAAAAGAGACAGATGCACAATTATAGAGATGACTTCGAACAAATGTTTCTGTCGTTGTTATCGGTGTGTGTGGAACAATGTGACTGTGTGTAACTGTGTTAAGTAAGCACTCTCTGGTAGGAAACCCAACTAGTCGTCGGAAAGTCGACTTGTGAGCTTTCATATATATATATGGGGGGGGGGGGGAAGCATTAGTCAGTCACCTCTAGATACTTGGCAGATATGCGGTCTCTACCCGCGAACAGCTATATCATATAGCAAGTCTAAATCTCGTCCCGATCTTAGCGTTTGTTGTGTCTGCCCACAACATTCGTCTCCCGTGTCTTCCAAAATTAATCGTTTAATATCCAACAACTCTATATAATTGCAGACATAAGACAAGCGGCGTGTTCTACTCGCCGTGTTTCTGGCAAACTGGCACCAAAACTAAGAAACGAACATGTGTCAGTAGAAACCAAAGTATCACTTTGTGATACAATCTTCATGCCAATCCTGGGCTACCTATGCCAGACCTGGAGAGTGACAAAACGAAGGAAGATAAATAACAACAACTGAAATGAAACTCCTACGAATGGTTCTTATTATAGCAATAAGAGATAAGATCTTGAATCATGAAATTCAAAGAGTAATGGGGGTAGCGGTAGCTCTTCTTCATTAGAAGACAACAGGAGAAATGGTTTGGCCATGTAACTTAGATCTCAGCAGACTGTAGACCACAGCAAGCAATGATGTACAGACCAGATGGGAAGCGAAGAAGAGGCCAACCAAGCAAACTATTGACACAGGGAATAACAGAGTCCATTGGAATCCCTATTTACGAAGCGCACAAACGGGCACTTTCAGTACTTTATACTTCACCTCGTCACCGCAAGGTAGCAGAGAATCAAAATGAGATGAGATTAGATGAGATGAGATAATGCTTCTGTTATTTTCCTCATGAAATAATTGTTAGTCGTAAGTCGAGGTTCTACTGTCACCGCAGATGGGTCGCCCTGACTGCTCTGTTTCTGTGCTATAAGCACACACAAATGTCCTTCAGTGCCTCATGTCAACAACTTTTGAAACTTGTCAGTCCCAGCAAAATCTGGAAGCTTGCACACGTAGTGTAGAAATGCATAAGGCAGTTGTCAAATGTGCCAACACTAACGGTCTCAATAAATCATTATAAACTATATTTCCAAAATTAGCTAGGAACTTCACCGTGGGAGAAAAATGTGTGGAAATAGATCATGAACTACGTCACTTCGTGTTTCTATGGAATAGACTCTGTGACAGCCAAATACGTGCCATCGTAACGGCAAGGTTTGTCACTGGCTACGTTCCGGTTTGTTTTGTTATCCGCGACAAATTAATTGTGAGATTTGGTCCCTCAAAACTCAATTATTACGAATAATTCTTTTTGGAAAAACAAATTAATACTGCTGCTGCTACTTCTATTACAACGACTATTACTAGTGCAGGGGCGTCCGTTGTTTAGGCGTGGTGAGTCCGACTCGTAATTCCACGTACCGCTAGCTGCGTGGATTTTTATCTTGCTATGGGCCATCGCAGGTCGACCCAGCCTAAAATGTGTACCAGAATGGCTGTACTGGGGAAGTAGAGACGGCCGTCGTAATGCTGACCACATTGCCCACCGATGGTCTGAAAAAATATGGGTGCTCTTCTCATATACCCGATACGCCTAGAGGCGTGAGAACTGATCTTTTACCTTACTTTTACTTACTACTAGTACGGTTATCAGTGCAGCTGCCACTGTCGCTGCTACGGCTGCTACCATTGTTACAACAACTACTGTTTTTACAGCTGCTTCTGCTGCTACTAGTACTTTACGACGACTTTTACTGAACTGCTAACACTGCTACAATCACTATTACTTTTGCTGCTGCTGCTACTACTACTTCTATTATTGCTACAACTAACATTATTATTACTGTTGTTTCTACTGCTACTACTACCTCTTGCATACTACTGTTTTACTTCTACTATTACAGCTGCTGCTACTACTAGTATTGCTACTAGTACTTTTGCTATTACTATTTTTACAACTTCTATTTTTACTACTTTCATTACTTTTACTTCTAGCAATATTTCAACTTACCTTACTGCCACCTCTAAACTACTGTCACTACTAACATTTGTACTACTAATTTTACTACGACTTTTGCTGCTATTACATTTGCATCCTACCATTACTACTTTTACCCCTCCACTACAATAAAAAATTAAAAAAATACTATAATAACTAATTCTAGAAAATGTTCTCTTTCCAGGTGTTTTACCGTACGCTATCAAGTCTATACCAGGAATCATGCCGAGTCAGTACGGGTAAGTAGACATCTATTGTATGCAAGCACAACAAGGTATTAGGTTATATACAATCATCGCAAGCACAACAAGGTCGGTTAGGTACAATCATCGCAAGCACAACAAGGTATCAGGTTGTATACGATCATCCCCCTGTGGGACTCGGTGTTCCATTTTGGAGCACAAAGAATTGACCACTCTGTCTCTCCGTCCTCTTTCTTAACCCCAGCATCTCTCTCGGTCTCTCTCTCCCTCTCTCCCCCCTCTCTCTCTCCCTCTCTCTATTTCTCTCTCTTTCCCCCTTTCTCTCTCTCCCTCTCTCTCCCCTCTCTCTCCCCTCTCTCTCCCCTCTCTCTCCCCTCTCTCTCCCACTCTCTCTCCCTTTCTCTCTCCTTCTCACTCTCTCTCTCCCTCTCTCTTCCCCCTCTCTCTCTCCCTCTCTCTCCCCCTCTTTCTCTCCCCTCCCTCTTCCTCTCTCTCTCGCTCTCTCCTCTCTCTCCCTCTCTCTTCCCCCTCTCTCTCTCCCCACTCCCCCCCCTCTCTCTCCCTTTCTCTCTCTCTCTCTCGCTCTCTCTCTCAGATCTCACTCTCTCCTTCTCATCATTTTCCTTTCTTCATTCAGTCCTTACTATTCAAATCCAACAACAAGCCATTCTTTATTTTGTGGTCTTTTATACCAGTGGTTCTCGACCTACAGATCGCGACCCTTTTTTGGGTCGAATGACCCTTTTACAGGGGTCGCCTTAGACTATTGGAAGACACATATTTCACTGAAGTTATGAAGTAGTACCGACAATAATTTTGTGTTTGAGGGTCGCCACAACACCAGGAACTTTATTAAAGGGTCGCGGCATTAGGAAGGTTGAGAGTCACTGTTTGATACAATTCGCATTGTTCTTTGACCTGTTTGCACCAGCAGACCTGCAGAAGAAGGGACATTGCTTCACCACTATCTGTGCCTACCATCTGTAGGGGCGGTCCCTACAGTGAGCCTGAGGTGCTGGGCTAGCGCTATCGCCACAAACTGTGCAGGATACGATGTTTAATTTGGCCTCTCGATAAAAAAATCCCATCACCTTACCGGGAACCGAACCTGGGTCCCCTGCATGAGAGCCCGACGTTGTAGTCGCTTAGCCAGCCGCTCCTCATAAAGTTTGGCCATGATCAAGCTAGCCAAAAACAGAAACAAATACAAATGTATGAAACAACTGGATTGTTAACTCTTTAAACTAGAGCCAGTTGAATTAGTTATAGATTAAAGAGTGGTGCGTTCTATGTTAGGGAAAGAGTTAAATCAAACTGTTATCTAATGCGACATATGTGGCTGCTTATAGATTTTAAAGAAGCTGACATACTTAGCTGTAGCATTGTTTCTGAGAGACTGGGCGCTGCAATAACATATATTCGATTTAGATATTTTTTTTTTATTACTGACGTTTCAGAGTCTTTTCATACAGTAATAAATTGAAAAACCATGTTTAGGCAGACATTTTGGGGCGTAACAACACATCTTTGTACCACTGCTTGAAGAACACTGCTTCAGACTTCACATTTCCCATGTTGTTCTTTGTTCATAAATTCCCATAATTCATTAACAAATCCGCAGCATGGTACAATTGTACGGCGTCAGCAAAATACTTGTTTTAATTAGAAACCGTTAATTTATCTCACCTGCAGAAAGCGATTAATTACCCCAGGATGTAATGCACATGCACACGTTGGAATAAATATTATTGGCATACCTGTCTATGTATATATTTATCAACCTTCTTTTTCTACAGTCTTGCTTAACAAACATATTACCTACGCACTTAATAAACCACACAGTTACATAACTATCTAGTTACATATTCATATTCCTAGCATATTCGCTCCTAGGAAAAAACAAAAGCAGAAGCTATTCGCCTCAATATGTCTAAAATAGGTGTCAGTAATCATAAAGTGTCTTTTACAGTAGCGTTGAGAATATGATGCATTAAGAAGTTGTCGATACTGCCTGACAATAATAAGAATAACTCCAAAGAGGAGCATGGACATCAGAGGTCCACCTTCATCAGTTGAAAGATCCCTCGTAGACGATTGTTTCCACCCATTACTTACTCTACAGTCTCTGAAGGTGGGTCATGACTCCAGGCCACGATCTTCTCCTGCTGCACTTTATCGGACTCTCGAACAGGGACAAGACGACACGTTGGCTTTATGGGGATAAGAAGTTCCTTTCCATTAGGGGCGCGGACCAGTCTACCGAGGCCCATCTCCCACGACGTTCTGTTGCCTCCAAAGCCAGCTTAAAGCTCTTCACCCAGCTGTTTTAGTGGCCGTTAACGCTTGTTTCCTCTCAAGTCCTGCTGCTTCAGCACTTTGTATGTGGAAGTGGAGATAAGACCTCTTGCACCTACCTCGACGGCGAAGTCTTTAATTGTGTTTACTTAGACTCTCCTCAGACCGGCCTCGAGCTCACCGCAATTTTCGAGCTTTTAGAGGTGATTATCTTCTATCCGAGACTTGTACGGTACGGTCAGCTCTCTCAGGACGAGCTGGCGTTTTTCTATAGAATTCAAAACTATGCCTGTTCTAAGACCGGTCTTCCGGATTAAGTCTTGGTACTTTTCCAAACTAGGCAGGTCGACAGCCAGTAACCAATCCCTCGCACAGTCAAGTAGTGATGGAGCGTATGCGACATCGTTTGCTGTGCTTTTAGAAACCTGCCCAACCTTGAGGAAGGGAATGGGGGCGACGTTAGGACTGGCCCTCGAGTTGGCACTCATCCTGACTTGGTCCGCACTGTCCGCTAACTCTGTCAGGACTGAAATATGGGGGCGACGGTAGGACTGGCCCTCGCGTTGGCCCTCAACCTGACTTGATCCACAATGTCCGCTAACTCTGTCAGGACTGAAATAAAAGAACTGCTTATACTCATAACAAAGTGTAAAACAACCAGATTTCGTAATCAACTATTCACCTTTAGTTCTGATAATTTATCCAGGTAAACGATAAAGTATATACTCATAAAGTGGTTGAACTACCTAGTTTTAATGTCAGCTACATACCTCCAAATTTGCTAATCTACCCAATTACCCAGTAAATCTCATACCTACAAATGCGATCAACTGCTTAGTTTAAAAAAAAAAATAAAGATCCCCTTTCACGCCGTAAGGCGCATCGGGCATAGGGCAAGAGCACTCCTATTTGTACAGACAAATCGGCACTAGGTGGGTAATGTGGTCAGCATTTTGCCGGCCGTCTTTTCTTCCCCAGGACATACATCCTGGTACCCATTTTAGGCTGGGTCGACCTGCGGCGTCCCATACCATCATAAAAATCCACACAGCTAGCAGTTGGTTTTGATCGCGGTATGTTGTAATTACGAGTCGGACTAGCCACGCCTAAGCCACGGCAACCGCTGATAAACTGCGTAGTTACATAATAAACAATTCACCTGCCAGTTACCAGTTTGTTGAACTACCAGTTTACGAGATAAGCTGAATAAATCCAACTTGCCGAAGCTACGCGGGTACCTAGTAAACTACAGTGTGTCCTATAAGTTTCCATACACAGAAACTTTTGTTTGTTTTAGGACGAAATTTTTTTTTTAATTTGAAGCCCCACCCTTCTTTTTCCAGGGGCCGCAATATAGGCAGGCCATAAATATGACCATTTGTCTGAACGCGGTTTCTCCACGATGATTCTTATCCACATGGTGGCACTTTGTGTCATCGGGTGTTTGTCGCTTGTGTGATGTCCTGGTGGGTAGAAAGTCAGTCAGTAAGTCAGTCAGAAACACGTTTCGTTGTGTGTCCTCCGTTGTTAAGCAACACAGCGGAAGTTTATGCTTGCAATGATGTTTTGAGGTTTTGAACAACGGATCAACATCATGTCACCCATAAGTGCTCCACTCTTCTTCTTACTCAAGTCTGAGTTTAAAGAAGCTCAGCACAGTGCACAAGCTCTGTAGCACCGGCGAGGATCCTGAAAAAACTTGTGGTAGATGTTTAATTCCAAAGTTTGCCCGGGAAGCGCCGTTAGGCTACTCTTTTCGATTTCCAACTGCCAGAGGATTTTTTTTTTACGCGCGCAACAATACACACGGGCACTACCCAAAGACTAGAGGGAATTACTAGAAGTCCAAGTCCACGTGAAAAAAATCAAAGCCCTTACCGGGGATTGAACCCGGAACAGCTAGCACTCGTGGCGGACCCATGCCTCGAGACCACGCAGCCCCCCCCCCCCCCCCAATGCTTGTAATGACATTGGTGATATGTCCTCTTCTCCTCCCCTACCCATGTTGCGTATACTTTAGAGGACGTTGCAAAACAAACCCCAGCACTTTCTGGCTGTTGTGGGATTTTTAAATTCAAATTTACGTCCAGTAGTTTGCCATTGCTTCCTAGACAGTCGGCTCTCGATACCAGTGCAAGACAAACCGTCCGCAGCAGGAATCGAACCTAGCACCCCGGCATTACGAATCGCGTTCGCAACGCCTAAGTCACAGAAGCTGACCCTCCCCATGTAAAGAAACCTAATTGACGCCCTGTTTACATTAACATATTTGATTAACTACTCAAACTATAAAGTCAGACAAGAGCAGGCAAACAGCAAATCATGTAGCGCTGAGATCCACTTTGATAAATACCCTGATGAGAAATATCCCTCATACACGCAAATACATATCACAACCCAGAAACGCTTAACATAAATCTATTTATTAATCACAAAAGCAGGAGTCTGGTTTTGGTTAGTGTGTACTTCAAAGATAACAGTCGATGCATGGACAGCATCATGTTTGCATCTATCTATCTATCTATCTATCTATCTATCTATCTATCTATCTATCTATCTATCTATCTATCTATCTATCTATCTATCTATCTATCTATCTATCTATCTATCTATCTATCTATCTATCTATCTATCTATCTATCTATCTATCTATCTATCTATCTATCTATCTATCTATCTATCTATCTATCTATCTATCTATCTATCTATCTATCTATCTATCTATCTATCTATCTATCTAT